CAAGGTCTTTTTTTGACCTAAATTATGATTATAACTTTATAATCATGATCTATAATTCTACATACATGTATGTATCTCCAACAGGTTAAATTATGGTGTGATTGCCCTTTCTGGCCTGATGATGGGATGTGTAAAATGCGTGATTGCAATGTATGCGAGTGTCCAGAACATGAATTCCCAGAATCTTTTAAAACACCATCATTAAATGTTCTTCCAAAAGATGATCCTGTATGTCAAGAGGGAAAACCAGAAGCTACTGTGGATCGAACCCTAGATGACAAATCATTTAAAGGCTGGGTAGAAGTAGATAATCCATGGACTCATGATGATGAAACTGATAATGGTAATAATATAATTATTTAACTTTAACCATATTGGAGTTGACTTTTTTTGAAAATTTACAGAAGAAATGACGTATGTGAATCTGCAATTAAATCCCGAACATCATACTGGATACACGGGTCCATCAGCTAGAAGAATATGGGTTGCTATATACTCGGAACATTGTCCAAGATGTAAGTTAATTAATTGTTGGGGAGGGCATTTCCGTCATTTTACACCGAGAAGAGATAAATAGTGTTTTTTTTTTTAATAACAGATGCATATGGGGAGATGTGCCCAGAGAAGAAAGTACTATACAAGCTAATATCTGGTCTTCACTCCTCAATTTCAATCCACATAGCTGCTGATTATCTTCTTGACATAAAAAATAATAAGGTCATTTACGAAACTTTAAATCAGATTTATTATGAAAAAAATTAATTAATTAAATCATTTAATTACAGCGGGGTCCAAATCTTAAATTGATGCGTGACCGAGTCTTGAAACATCCTGATCGCGTGCAAAATCTTTACTTCACTTTTTTATTCATTCTTAGAGCTGTGACAAAAGTAAGTATTCCTTTTTAAACAAATTTTGAGATTCTTTTTTTTTTAAAGAAAAATAAATAATAATTAAATATGTGAGTTTTTGATGTTACAGGCAGGTGGTTACTTGGATGAGGCGGAGTATGATTCAGGGAACGATTTGGAGGATGTGAAAGCGGGAGAATTGATAAGAAGATTGGTACATAATCCCAAATTGCAAGCTGCATGTGCACTTCCATTTGATGAAGCTGAATTATGGCAAGGTCAAGGTGGGCCCATGCTCAGGCAACAGATCCAGAATCAATTTCTAAACATCAGGTTTCATCTTTAATTAATTCTCTACATACATACATACATACATACAAAACATTTCATGTCAAATAATTATTACAGCATCTCGAATGGGAGCTTATGTTAGAGGTTAATACTATTTGAAATTTGAAATAACTAATAAAGAGGTTATTAACTTATTACCATTGGGGCATATGACTTATTCCTTTTTTTTTTTTTTTTTTTTTTTTTTTTAATTTACCACTCCATATTTATTAAGCACTTATTTTTATTTTTCTGTTTTGTACATTTAACCCTCTCCATTCACTTATTTCACTTGTTAGGGCTTTTTCACATATTTCACTCTATATTAAATTCTAGAGTAAATTACATTTTTCGTCCTTGTGGCATAGTGGTTTGTTCAGATTTGGTCCAAAAATAAATCTTTTTGCTTGTTTGATCCCTTTTGTATGACATTTTCACCTTTAAAATTTATTTGTACACGTGGCAGTGCATTGATGGACTGTGTGGGGTGTGAGAAGTGTCGTCTTTGGGGAAAACTTCAGATTCTTGGTATTGGAACGGCGTTAAAGATTCTGTTTTCTGTTAATGATAAGGGAAACCCCAGACACACATGTAAGTATTTATATTTTTGTATTTTTATTTTTTTCAATTTTTCCCAAGAAAATGTTTGATTTTTATCTATCTATTTGTTTTTACAGTTGCTGTTACAAAGAAATGAAGTGATTGCTCTAGTTAATTTACTAAATCGGCTATCGGAATCTCTTATATTCGTTAATAAAATGGGGACTCCTCCTGCTAAAGAAATAATCAGTAGACCATGGGGATTCTCGTCAGTGGCTTATTGGTAATTTTTGTTACTAATTATTTATTTTTATTTTTTGGGGGTTTAACTGAAATGCTGTGAACTAACTGGTTTGGTTTTTCAGGTGGCCAAAATCTAACCAACAATTGTCATTGTCAACAAACACCACCGATCCATTTTGATAATGAGACAAGATCAAAGTGAAGATAAAAAAATTAGAGCAGCAAAATATTATAATTTGAGCTTGAATTTCATTTCTTTGGTTCTTTGGTATGTAACATCATTTTGTTTTGTTTTTTCCATCAGTTTTTGGAAGACACACTTTAAGAAGCATAAATGTATTCACTACTAGCAAAGAATATGGTTTTCAACATTCATCGAGTTCATGTCAAAAGACCAATACAAAAACACCAAAACATACGTTTGATCTAACAACACGATTCACATCAAAATATTTTCTTTCTACAACTTCTTCCCCATCATCATCATCATCATCATCATCATCATCATCATCATCTCATAGATTTTGATCATTGAATTCTCAATTTTGCCCCTCTTTACAAGCTTAACTTCTATTTTTATGTACATTGTAGTAGCATAAAGGTATAACACAAAACTAAATCAATTTTTTTTTCTGAGTCCTTGACATGGAGAGAGAAGTTGTTCATCATCATATGATTCGCACTAAAAAACTTGGATAATCTTTCTTGTAGGGGATTTTTTTTTTTTTTTTTTTTTTTTTTTTTTTTGTTATTGTGGAGTGGTTGGTTATATCTCGATTCCAGCTTCTTTAAAAGCAGCTGTCATTGTGGTTGATGCCTCTTCAAGTGTTCGCCTTTTTTGAATAGAATTGAAGGTCTCAATGTAATCACCTTCCTCCCATTCATTGAAATCATCAACTCCAATTCCACACTCTAGTCCCACATTCACCTGTTCAAACAAACCAAGAGTTTCACAAAAGGTTTTTGGAAAGAAAAGAATCCAACATAAACACTTATTAGATTATTAGATTATAAGAAGACTAGAAGCATATACCTCTTTAACATCCTCCTTGATTCGTCTCAAAGAATCAACAACACCAACATAAATAATCTTCCCTTTTCTCAAAACCCTAACCCCACAATCTTTTGTCACCTTCCCCTCAGTCACCATGCATCCAGCAATCCGCCCACTCCCGCTGCTAAACACCGCCCGCACCTCCGCGGCACCAAGCGGCACTTGATCCTACAAAAACCAAATCATCAAACAATGACACGAGGGAGGGTATAATGGTAATTTCACATGGTTACTTTTTTTTCTTTTTTTATACCTCAACGGTGTCTAGTAGGCCTTCCATTGCAGTTCTAACATCATCAATAAGATCATATATAACTTTGTAAAGACGTATCTCAACACCTTTTTGGTCTGCATAGCTTTTAACAGAACCCGGTGCTTTTACATTGAACCCAAATATAATCGCTTTACTAGCAATCGCCAGGTCAACATCACTATTGCTGACATCACCCGTTGCTTGTAAAATGAATTTCAAAGTCACATTATCTTGTGGGAGCTTCTGTAGGGCTTGTTTCACAGCTTCAATTGATCCCTAATCATCATTAAAAACAGTTTAAAATTGTTTTCTTTCATCACCTTATTTAAACAGAATGTGGATGCTTTAACAATAATAGTATATAGTAAAAGTAGTAATACCTGAAGATCGACTTTCATAACAATATTCAATTGATGCAAATCTAATCCAGAATTTTTGCCAGTTGTAACAGCAGAAGCAAAAGAAGAAAGAGTTATTCTTCCATCTCCAGCTTTTGCCAAAATTCGTTCATCTCTTAAAGAAATCGCGCGTTCTTCTGCTCTTTCACGTGCAATATCAAGAGAATCCACAACCTCAAATTCATCACCCGCAAATGGGACATTGTTTAATCCAATAACCTAAAAAAAGCATCCATCAAAAGTTTAATACTTTCTATAAATGGAAACGTTGTGATTTTCTTTTCAATTTATACCTGTACGGGTATCGAAGGTCCAGCTTTATCAACTCGTTTTCCACCATCATCAAATAAAGCTCGGACCTGAAAAACAAAATATTTCCCCAAAAGGGTATGTTGTTAAGCCAATGAAAGTTTGAAAAAAATCAAAATTCAAGGTTAAAAATGTCATTTTTTATTTTTTACTAACCTTTCCAAAGGATTCACCACATACTACTACATCCCCTTTTTTTAGTGTTCCATTTTGAACTATAAAAGTGGCTACAGGTCCTTTTGACTTGTCAAGACCTGCCTCGATTACTGTGCCCTTTGCATTTCTATCAGGATTAGCCTTCAATTCTTGCAGCTAATATATCAAGAAAAAGAAAAGAGAATACAATTAAATACATAAATCAAGATAAATAAAGGTAATCCCTTGTTTTCTTCCATTAAAATACATAATAGTATATATAAAATATAGTAAATTACAAAAAATGGGCCTTGTGCTTTCTGATTTTTACCATGTTTAGTCGAAAATCAAAGCTTTTTTCAAATTTGGTCTTTATTTCAAGGTTCCAGGGACCAAAATCGATATGAAACCTTGAAATAAGGACCAAAACTGTAAAAAAAAAAAAACACTTTTGGACTAAGTCGTTTTTTCACTACATGATAAGTTTTTACCTCTGCAACAAGCATAGTGGTTTCCAACAACTCATCAACATTGAACCCTGTGAGAGCACTAATCTGTAATAAAACAATATTTTAGATAACAATAAGCATCGTGTAAAGGGTATTATAGTCAAAACATAAAGAACAAATTTCAGGCTTTTTTGTCCCACCTGAACCATAGGAACATCACCACCCCAATCTTCTGGTTGTACACCATTTACAGAAAGCTCCTGCATCACTTGGATTACTCTGTCTGCAGCTTCCTCCTTCTCAATCTTATCAATCTAAAACATTAACAAAAAAGTTTTAAGTTAAAATTTTAGTCAAATCTTTGACTAATTAAATCATATGATTCAATAAATACCTTGTTAATGGCAATAACTATTGGCACACCAGCTGCTTTTGCATGTGCAATTGCTTCAGCTGTTTGAGGGCGAATTCCATCATCAGCAGCCACTACAATTATAGCAATATCTGTAACCCTGGCTCCACGTGCTCTCATTGCACCAAATGCCTATAAAAATCAACACATTTAAACAAAATTGGAAATTAAAAAAAGATTTATTTACATTTAACATTACCTCATGTCCAGGGGTATCAAGAAAAACACATGGTCTCACAGTGCCATCAATAGGCACTTCAACTTTATATGCTCCTATTCCTTGTGTGATTCCACCAGCTTCAGAAGCTGCCACCTGTCATAAAAATAGTAATCAAGATCCAATCTTTAATCACATTTCATGTTATAAAGTCTATCTTTTTCGTTCTTTAATCATAAAGATCCAATCTTTATTTACATTTCATGTTATAAAGTCTATCTTTTTAGTTCTTTAATCATAAAGAAAGAATCTTGATCAAATTGTACCTTGGTTTTTCGGATAAAATCCAAAAGGGTTGTCTGTCATATACACAAAAAACAATATCAGCAAAAAAAAAAGTCTTTTAAAGAAATTAAACGATTTAAACCACTAACTATTACTTATTATTACCTTTCCATGATCAACATGACCCATGATTGTGAGAACAGGGGGTCTATCTTGTAAATGATCCAAGTCTTCTTCATCAAAAATTTCTTTCTTTTTAGCTTGTTCTGATATTTTAATGGGACCCACATCAATAACTTCCACATCATACTCCCTACAAACCATCTTCACCATTTCCTTATCAAGCTTCTGAACCCCATCAGGCTTAATACCCTTTGCATAAAGATGCCCTAATATTTCACCTTCACTCACAGCTAAATTATACGCCAGCTCATCAATCAGCATACCCTCTTCACTAACTTCCATGAGTTCTACCTTGACCGGTTCAGCTTCCCGAGCTGCCCGCATCCTAGCTGCTTTCCTACTAGCTTTACTCCACTTTCTTCCCTTTTTTGCCCCTGGAATTGAAACATCAAGCTCATCATCATGAATCCTATTATCTTGAACCATACGCCTACGGGTCCCACCAGCTGCCCCACTTCTCTTTCTGAAATCTTCCTTGAATTTTGTGGGACCCGAGGGTTTTCCTGGCTTAGGAGGTGATAAAACTGCTTGTGCCATTAAAGGGTCAACTGGTGGTCTTTTGGATGCAAATTTATCGATCAAAATCGGTCCACTTCTTTCCTTTTGTTTTGTACTAGGATCTTTTTCATCAGTACTAGGTTTTTCCTTTTCTTTTTCCAACACCCTTGGAGCAGCTCCTAAATCTTTCAAGATTGGTGATCTTTTGACAGGTGGTGATGCTGTCAATGGCTTTGCTTGTAACTTTGGTTGGAATCTTTGAGGTGGCTTAGCAACTTGTTGACTTTCAGCTTCCCCTGTTGACTCCATTTTCGGGATTTCTGGAATTTTCTCAATCTTTTTTGCTTCTTTCACAACTTTTTCTACATTAGCAACTGGATTCCCTTTTCTCCATACACTCTTCAGAGTCTTGGACTTCCCAACAGCTGAGTTGACTCGGTTGGCATCAGAATTGGTGTTTGTTCTCAAAGGGATTGATGGCTTTTTATTTGGGATTTCTGAGTTCTTGCTTGTTTCTAACTTTTCAGCCTTTTCCAACACCTCTCCTAATGACTCAATCACCTTATTTCTCTCTTCTTCATTCAACTTCTCCCTACCAGAACCATTTGAAACTTGTGCTATTTTAGGCTCGGGTGGTTTCAAGATAGGCCTTGTAGGCTTAAGTAAGAGATCAGAAGCATCGTCTTGGCTGCTTTTATTGGTGGCATTCAGTGATAGTGAAGTCCCTTGATCAGCGATGTAATCAGTAGTCACAGAATATTTACAAATCGAAACATACCTCCACCTTTTTCCGACCAAAAGGTTATGAAAACTGCAAGAACTATTGGGGAAATAAACTCTCCTAATTGATAAACGGGTCCCTTCCAATTGACCCGGAGAACCAGTGCAGGTACTTCCTAAACCCACTAACGAAGCAAAAGAAGCCATGATTGCACTCTATATAGACCCCAACATTACTTTCCTATCCTCAGAGACAATTTATCAAACACCTAGCCTGCAATGGCCTAATAACACCTTCACAGACTCTTACACACGAAAATACACTCTCCTTATACTCGTTTCGCTACAATTTGAGCACCAAATAGAAATGGGTAGATTATAAAACCTAAAGAACAGGGTTTTGAGCTCAACCGATAGTACGAAAC